CATTAATATGCATTGTTCAGCCTGCTGAACTCTTAAGCCTAGTTTCCATTTGGTCGTTAATTGTCGCTGGTACAACAGGCAGAATATGTGAAATAGTCTAATATCATAATAATCTTTGTGTGTGTTATATGCAAATCAGTCTTAATGATTGCAGAGTTTTGTAAAGTTTTGTTGGCACTCTATTACATCATTAATATGCATTGTTCAGCCTGCTGAACTCTTAAGCCTAGTTTCCATTTGGTCGTTAATTGTCGCTGGTACAACAGGCAGAATATGTGAAATAGTCTAATATCATAATAATCTTTGTGTGTGTTATATGCAAATCAGTCTTAATGATTGCAGAGTTTTGTAAAGTTTTGTTGGCACTCTATTACAGCCACTTGTCGTGCCAGCGACAACTAATGACCAAATGGAAACTAGGCTTTAAACCAAACCAAAACCATGGAAGATGTTATTTGTCTGTGACAGGTAATGGCCAAAAAAGAAAACAATCATGTCAAATATAAAAGATCATGCAGACATGGGTGCATGCATAATTATATCAAAATGTGGAAAGTATTATACATATTACAGGACATGCGACCAAGCCATACATTGTTGCTTAATTTAAAATATTCATTTAAAAAGTTAAATATAAGCATTAATTTGTTACCTTAAATACACCTCGTGCAATATCACACCAAGTCCCACACAACATGGCTTTGCCCAGTGGTTCAAGGCATTTATTTAACTTGCGCTGTCTCTGTTGTGATGGCCAAGACACAATAATCTGACAGTATAAATTAATAAATATACAATTAATATTATATAGCATTGGCACCATCATATACATACCTACATATATCATATACCGTTTTTTTATAAATTAATATTGGTACTTAATCCTCATGAGTGTTTTTAGTTAAATTATTAAAAAGTATGAAATGCCATAATAAATTTTATACGAACTCCTACCTTACAACCCAAATCCTCGTGACCATGTTCATGACTTTGGAATGTAGTTTGAGTTTGGCAACTTCGATCACAAAGACGTTTTGACGAAATTGGTTGAATTGGAGAAACAGGTGGAACTGGATGTGAAGTAGTTTGTAAAATAAACATCCGTACGTTTTGGCGTGCTGGTATTAATAGCTGGGTCACAATCATATGAAAGCTTTTTTGAACAAGTTCCCTTTGATACATTTATACGATTAAGTATATCAGCTTCGATTTGTGCAACTTTTGCACTGACCTTCTGTCGTTTTTCTAATAATATTTTACAGTCTCTACAGCAAAATTGCCTTAAAGACCAGTCAATTTGTAATCTTCGATGCAGATTAGTTGGTAGTTCAGAAATAACCTGCGAAAGTTTAGTACTTCCGTCATGCCTCACATAAAAACGACTGTGACCAACACTTGGAACTTTACTCCCACACAATATACAGTTTTCGGTTTCTTTCAGATGTGACATTTATACATATTAAGTAACAGTAATTTGACATGCTTGGAAGCCCGCCATTGAAAATTTATGCAAATGTTTTTGACATTAAATTATAATATATGCACACTGGCTACGTCATCGGTATGGAATTTTCACAGTTAAATCGCAGACGTCTCCCTCGGGCAGTACATTTCGCCCGATGTGAGGCGTCTGTATTCGCAGGCTAGTTACAAATGTTCGTAATTACATTTCCAAACTTCGTAATTTGGTGCGGTACTTAGGAAGCCAACTTTGAACTTGTCAGTTGTTTACAACTTGTTGGACACGTTAGGTTTATTATGGCTGATGAGTTAGAAGGATTTCTTATACGTTTTAAAGGTAAATTTTTGCTGTTTTTACAGTAAATTGTAGTTCTGCAATGTTGTAGATTTTTTACATGCCAGAAGTTTAAAAAATTGCCAAAATTATTCGATGCATACAAGTACATTTACACATTCAGTTGTGCCGTTTTGCAATGAATATATATATATTATTTTGGTAGCTTTGCAAAGTATCGTAATTTTTGTACTTACTATATTTTATCTTGGTATAAAACTAAAATATTGCTTTATTAGTGAGTATATATTCGTTTGTCCAAAAGCCAGAACTAGCCTGCGTGCAGCCTGACTTTTTGATGGGGAAGGGGGAAAAGTCAGTCTGCGAATCAGGGAACAATACCGTGTTCGTTGTTTTGAATTGCATGGATTTATGTATTCAAACGTGATTGGCTATTGCTCAGAAGCTTAATACACGCGCTACGATTGGCCAATTCGTTAATGTATTCAGTTCAACAAAATGTGATATTTAGCAAAATGGCGTCTTTCAAGAAACGAATTTTGCAAAAAGCTATTGATGAGTGCAAATCTCAATTCAAAATACAACACTTGTTGATAGAGCAGAAAGAAGCAATCGAGATATTCTTTCAAAAGAAAAATATCTTCATAAATTTACCTACAGGCTTCGGGAAATCCTTAATTTACCAGTGTTTACCGTTTGTGGCAGACGTGCTATATGAAAGACCTCGAGGTTCCAGTGTGATTGTCGTAATCTCTCCATTGCGATCATTAATGAATGATCAAGTGGAATATTTGATGAGTATTGGAATTCCTGCGATAGCCATTTCGGATGAAGAAGATCCTGATATAGTTCAACAAGTTATGAATGGTACATATATTGTTATTTATGGCTCTCCGGAATGTCTATTGTCAATGTCGGTATGGAGGAGTATTTTCCAGTGCCAAAGCTTCACAGAAATGCTCATAGGAGTTGCTATTAATGAAGCGCATTGTATAGTTCATTGGTGAGTTTTCTACATATTTCACTATTTATTTTAGGAAAAATAATAATAAATTGGTTGCTTGAAGTCTTGAACATGCCCAAAAAATTTACGAGTATTATTATTAAAGCAAGTGTGCAGTTTGTGCATTAATATTGCCGAAGGAATAAAAATAAAGAAATAAATTTAACAACCTGCACATATATGTATATTTTATATTTAATGATGTATTGCCATATATTTTTACTTTTAAATTATTCATGATTTACTATTATAATACATTCATTACTTTACATGACATATATTTTTTCAAGATTAATAATAGTACAATACAGTATGGAGTGTCAAGATGTAACACAGGTTATTGTAGCACGGCATATAAAAAATATGAATAATTTTATGAATATGTGTCACTAAACTAGTATTATGTACTGTTTAAATAGGGGGCTTGCCTGGAAGTAAGGACAGGGATGTTCCATTCAGGAAATGGTATGGCTGTTTGGGGGAATTGCGTTCCTTATTCCCACAGCACTGCAAACTTGTAATTCTCACTGCAACTGCGACAAGAGATACGAAAGAACAAATACTAAGCACGCTACACCTGTCTACAAATGATGTACATTTCATCGAGCAGAGCCCAGATCAGAAAAATATACAATACAGCGTTCAGTATTTAGAAAAGGATGATCATTTGGAAAATGCCTTTTCATCACTAATTCAAGATGTTAAAGAACATGGTGCAAATAGTCAGCGAACATTGATTTACTGTCAGACTCGAAAACAGTGTTCAATTATTTACCGCATTTTTGAAGTGTATTTGGGTAAGCAACTATTTCTTGGTGACTGTTTACCACAAAATAGGCTGGTTGAGATGTTTCATGCAGGAACACCTCCCCTTGCCAAGGAACACATCACAAAAAATTTAGCAGACAAAAATGGTCATTTACGCATACTTGTATGCACAATTGCATTTGGTATGGGAGTGAATTGTAAGCAGGTACGAAGGGTGGTACATTTTGGCCCGTCCAAGAACATCGAAAGTTATGTGCAAGAGTGTGGGCGTGCTGGTAGAGATGGACAACCTAGTTCCTGTTGCATTGTTTACCATGGTTTATTGTTAGGGCGCTGTGACAAGGAGATGAGAGTGTATGTGCAGGCTAAAGAGTGTCGTCGAAAGATACTGATGGATAATTTTGGCTATCAATGTGAAAAACAAAGTGAGCTATCTCACAAATGCTGCGATATTTGTGCTGAAAACTGCTCGTGCCAAGAAAAATGCACTGTATGGAATCTATGTGAAGAGAATGAAGTTGATCTTACCATGTCAAATGATGTTACAAAAACATGTATTCAAAGGCCAGTTTCACAAGGACAAAAAAAACTGTTGCACACTGAACTAGTCAAATTCCGGAACACAGTTATAAGCAAAGCACATACACAAGAACAAGTTCCTTGTCCCAATAATCTACTTGAATTCAACAATTTTCACATAAATCAAGTAATTAACAAATGCTACAAGCTATTTACAGTCAATGACATTTTGCAAGAGATTGAAATTTGGAGACATGCTCATGCTATTGAAATACTGAATATAATAAACAGAGTTTTTGGAGATGTTGATGCCAATGAACTAATGGGACTTGATGAGGAACAGTTCCTCAATGACACTAGTTTCAGTTCAAACTGGGATGATGTGAGAGATGATTCATACATATCCTTCATGGAAACTCAGGAACTTGAATGTTTTTCCTCTTTCAACACTAGCAAAGGTGATGAATCCATGGATTTAAATAGCAGTATTTAGCCAATTAACCCATCTCTCGAACATAACAAACAGTAGCTACTAATTAACTAAATTCAAGTGACCTATACAATTCAATTTGCCTTTGTCGCAAAGGCCGAAATCCGCCATTTTGGGTGTACTGTATGCTCTTGTAAAAGATTCTAGACAATTGAAACAACATGAAAAAGACTTTTAAAAGTTGTAACTGTAAATTTACCATTATACAAACAACTACAACACTAAAAAGTTGTATTTTGTGGATATTCTCAAACACGGGAGAGGCAGTACCCCCAAATGGCGTGAAAATTGGCCAGAGAAAGGCTAATTGTGCTTATCAGAAATCACTGTCAATATGTGAAAATGAAACATTTTCTCGTAATACAACGAACAAGTTTAAAAAAACTTTTGTACTAAGATAAAATGTTTCATGAAATGTGCAATGGAAGTAGCCAGGTGTTATTTGAGGTACATATTTTGTTTTCTGACAAACATAATTTCTTCAAACAATTAGTTTGACTATTTTTCATATGGGGTATTTTTAAAATCGTAGGGAATTATCCTTTCTCACAAAGGCCAAAATCCTCCATTTTGGGGGTACTGCTTGTCCTTGTGAAAGATTCTATACAATTCAAACAACATGAAAAGCAACTTTTAAAAGTTGTAACTGTAAATTTACCATTATACAAATGTATACATTGTATTTCGTGGTTCGGAGACTCCCAAACATGGTAGAGGCAGTACCCAAAAATGGCAGAAATATCGACTGTGAGAAAGACTAATTGAATTAACTGACTATATGCATTCGGAAGGTATTGATATTGACAGTTATAGATAACTGATCCTCAGCTGACAATTAATTATCATTAATTTAACGAGCATGCCTGTTAAGAATCATATGCTTTTTATGTTCATTGATCCACGTATACAATTTATGCAAATCAAAACCATTTAGAATGCTTGGTTTAATATTTTTATAAAAAGTATACTCCCTGCCAGGTGTGTGATAAAATGCCTTCTGTGTAAGTAGCTCATTTACTACTTTTTCCAGGTCTCCCTTGGTTGACTTCTTTATATGCTTCCCAGATCTTTTATAAATGTTCAAGTTTGTATCGAAAACCGCCATTAGATCAGCAGTTACTCCCAACGAATGGCAAATACGATCAAGTGACTTCTTGCTTGCACTGGGACCAAGATGTTTTATGGCTTCCTTGACCAGTTTGTTCTTGAACTCTAAATTTAAATCCAAAGATATATTGCCAAATTGTCCATGTTTGTTCTTAACGAATCTGTTCCAAATCAGGCGATGAGATTCTTTAGGACTAAGCAATGCATATAATTGGAACATTAAATACAATGCTTCAAGAGAATACTTGTTGGCTAATGTTCCTTGATGCTTCAAATACATAAGGAAAAATTTCCAACACCTTATCACACGTTCCCCATCGCCCTCCGATATTCCATCCCATAAATTGAGCAATAACATTCCATAATCAAGCAATGCTCTTTGATAAGCAAACATGTCATCTCGCTCGTCTTCATCAATTGTGGTATCGCAGATCACATTGGCAATTTCATATTCATTCACTTCGGGTTGAGGATAATGTTGCATTTCGTGTAGCCTTCTGCGCTTTCCGTCAAATGCAAATGTTTTCTGGCAGCCCTTGTATCTGCATGGATATCTCCCTTCGCCATTCACTGAACGTTTTGCATCTGTGTATTGCTGGATCAACTGCACGATGTCAAAATCTTATCATTTCTTTCCTGGTCGATAACAAATCTATCCACAACAGCAGTAGCTGTTTTTCTGAGAAACTCCATTTTCTCTTCTTTGGACGTTTCATCTTTGTCAGAGAAGATCTCTTTATCTTCATCTAAACTGTCCATTTCCAGAACAGCTAAAGCACCAGCAATGACTCTTGACTCCACTTCAATTTTAAAAAATCTCCGGCAAGCATTCGCTGCAGCACTGACATCACTCTTTACATTCCTTCTATTGATTAAATTGCGGTCGCTGTACATAGTACATTTGTCACCAGAAGAAGATATGTTATATAAGTTATTAAATGCAACCTGAAACAATAATTAAAAATAATTTAATTTTTATATACTGTAATATGAGTGGGTTTAGTTCTTATATAGTAGACAAGGACATACAATTCAGCAAGTCTAGAAAGTGTTCAGAGGTTGCAAATAGAATCAGTACAGTATTCGTTCATTATATGTGGCAAAACGTTGTGGCAGGGAAAGCTTTTAACAGTCAAACGTTTGTGCATTTTGCATCCAGTGTTTCATCCAAAATGAAAAAATAATAATCTCCATGAGATACTTCGTGTATAATATTACTGTATATGGTGTCTGGGTGACACATTGTGCGAGGTGGGTACAATATTTTGAAATTTAACAAACCTCCACAAACTTGTTGCCGGCATGCCAGTCAGCTGCTTCAAAATGCAACCCTTCTAGACGCTCTTCACTAGTAAATCCATTGGCTAAGGACATTTTACCATTTATAGCTCTTTCAACACTTAATTGATCGCCAACCACACCTTGATTACCATAAACATTATCTTCTTGATCAGCATTGCAAGGAACAAACTTGTGAAGTTGCTGGAGAATCTTGATGACCCCGTTAGCATCATTTTCGTTCTCGTATATCATGCCTAAAAACACCTGCAAAAAAAGAGAAGTAGGACAAAATTAATGCTATTGTAACGATTACAATGAATGCTCTCTCATATGTATTTTATTGATTTGCTTATTGTACACTTATTTTATTTGATATTACTTCTCTTGGACTAACACATTAGACAATAAAAAAGCAATGGAATTGCCACTTAGTTGAGAAGTTAAGGAGGGTATTTTTATATGCATGTGGTTATTCTTTCACGCCAGTCACAAAATATACAGTAGTACTGTATAAATGCTGTGCTGAGTGGTTATATTACTACCTTAAAAAATAAGCAGAAACTCAACGTTTCGAGCGAAGGCCCTTCGTCAAGAGTTATTAGCACTAACTCTTGACGAAGGGCATTCGCTCGAAACGTCGAGTTTCTGCTTATTTTTTAAGGTAGTAATATAACCACTCAGCACAGCATTTTCACATTGGTACTACCAACACTGGTACAGACAGTTTAAGTAGTACACTAGTACTGTATAACTGTTACTTACTAGTGATAATCTAAACCTGATATCAATCCTAACCTGATACTACCCTAACCCATATGCCTAACCTACCTCAAAGCCTACCCCTAATGGTATTAAAGTAACTTACAGAATCTAATCTCTTCTTCATTTCTGCACTGTACTGGTGAGAAATGTGCATAGGACACAAATCTGCAAGGAAATTTAAGCAAGGAATGTTGGTTGTAATTATCCGTTCAACAAGGTGAATATAATTTGTCCTTTGCTTTACATTATCAGCTGAACTAGGAATGCATTTTCCATTCTCCATTTTCATAACTCCACCTGTTGGAAGTTCATCACTTAAATGGTTCCCTGATACACGGTTCTCTACACTCATGTATGTTACATAATGATGGTCAACATTCTGGTGTTGTTCGGTCATGTAGTGAACTTTCTGGTTATAATCGATATTGTCAAACACAATTTTTCTGCCATAATCAGGTGTAACAACAGCTTGAGCTAATGGATCTGCCTCCTCAGGACTTTCTTCAGTTGGGTTCTTACAGAGATTTTGTGCCAATAGTTGACCCTGTGCAGCAACTCTGTCGAGAACTTCCTTATCATGATCAGCTCCATATTCATCGAGTTTCTTGTATAGAAAGGTATGGCTGGTTACTAGCCTCAATGGATACAATCGTGCCAACATAGCCTATAATTAAAGTAAGAGAAATACTGTAATATACAAGTAATATATATGCTACAAATTCACCCATGCTGTTCCAGCACACTTTCAAATTAACCTTAATAATATTTTTTTGGGAGTGCATCGCATAATTCTTAAGTGGGGGTGGGTAGGGATGTCAAAAATTGATCAATATTTCTGAACAGCCACAAACATTAATGAGACAATGGGTGTGTAGATTATGCAAAACTAGTAAATGTATGCTTTGCCTATTAGAAACTAGAAAATTATTAAACTATTAATACCAATAAAGAAGGATGCAATTAGCTCAGAACGGACTTGACCGGCTCTTTAATAGTTTTATATGTTATATGAGTCCTGAGCAGATATTGTGGTTTATAACCATTAATTATCAAGGGTGAGTGGTGTGGTGGCTTCAAAATCTCAAGGGGGGGGCAGGGCGCAGTGTTAAATTTGATGTCCCACAGTTCTTTTGACACTGGTGCCTCCCCACCCTGAAAAAAAAATTGGCTCTTGTACAACTAGGGGGATAGGGGAGCATGCTCCCCAGCAACTTTCTGAAATTTGAAGCCTGAAAGTGCCATTTCCTGCATTTTGAGCATCAAATTTCTAACAAAAATGTATTCTAACAAAGCCGTATTTTAAACAAAAACCGTAAACAAACAACAAGAATGTAATACGGTCATGTCACATGTCATGTAGGAATTTTAATTAAGAAACTTAAATTTTAGAATTAAATACTAATCCTTCTTGGCAATTTTGGCACTCCAACTGGATTTCGGCACCCCCTTGAAAAAATGGGCCATGCACCCGCCACCCCTGTCGCCATGACGCCACTGCCAAGGGTTCCAATTGATAAGCAAAACCATCCTATTTAGACGAAGAAAATTGGTGGGATATAACAATAAATAATGACTTACCAACCAATTTGCATGATACAAAAAGATGGTTATCAATAGTTGGGCAGCTATCATGAACTTTGACCGACTGCGAAGACAAACAGCTCCTGCCATAGCCACTGATGCAAATTCATTTTGAGGTTCTGTTGCTTTACTTCTTGGGTTGGTACAAGCAGCAACTAACAACGAATGAAACAGGGGTGCTCTCTTACTAAGTTCGCCAGAAAGTTTCTGTAAAAGTTAAAATGTAAAAGTTAAAATGCTCTCTTTACTGGTCATCCTCAAAATGCTGGGATTTTTCTTCGAACATAGTTGTGTGCATTCTCTGTTGATTTCCTTTTCCATTAGCTGAATGAATTCTTTCCTCAATTTTTCATTTTTCCAAGCAGCAGTAGCAATCTGTTTATACGTTCCTCTTACCAACATCTTTGCCAAGGAGTCAAAATCCTCAGGTAGCTTTTTCTCGACACTTTTAGATGGCCACATTACCTTAATAAATAGATAGATATATTATTTAATAAAGTACTTTGCAGCCTGATGCCTGAATTATTTACATAACATGTATTTTAGTATTTAATTAAACTATATTAAAAAAAAATTAAAAACAATACCTTCACACGAACTTCTGTTTTCGTTGTAACCGAACTCTCACTGCTGGTTTCATTAATACTAACACGCTTCTGTAGAACTGGTGAGACTGGCCATATTATGATATTTGTATTTGCAATGTCACCTGTACTGGAGCGAATTGGCGACGATGTTCGACGTGAAACCTCAGTTGCTTCGTCACAAATCCTCTTTGATACTGTAGCCGTAGGTTCTTGATCTTCGATAGTTGCTAAATCTGCTGATCTTTTGTACGCTGAATTCCTGAAAAAACCTTCGATATCATTTAAGGTTGTGAGAATTGCCCGACGTTTCTTCAACTTTTGGACACAAGCCCTGCAAGCGTATTTGCTGTAAATCACAACACTGAAAGGAAGTGACTGGATCTCGGCAGCAACGTCAAATTCTTTTTTCCCTGTATTAATGAGAACCCTTTCATACATCTTTTGTATGGCTTTCGTGCATAAATTACATGCAACATTGCCCTTCGCGCTTTCGTCCGCCATTTTTTAATTCTGGAATGTTGTTGTTGAACTGAATATATTAACGAATTGGCCAATCGTAGCGCGTGTATTAAGCTTCTGAGCAATAGCCAATCACGTTTGAATACATAAATCCATGCAATTCAAAATATAGCGCGAACACGGTATTGTTCCCTGATTCGCAGACTGACTTTTCCCCCTTCCCCATCAAAAAGTCAGGCTGCACGCAGGCTACGTATCAGTAGCCTCATGAGGATGCTTTAGCGACAGCTGCAAATGCAAATGAAGTTTTAGAATATGCAAAATTTGGGTGTTGGTGAAACAATTTAAGAGGCGTTGCCTGTAATGTTCAAGCAAAGTTGGAAATCGGCCCAAAATCCGCAATTTTGAAACTTTGTCAGAATAAAGTCTATCACATGCCTGATCGAACGACCTACCTTATTTTCTTGGAAAATTGAAATTTTTAATTTGAGGCACCTTTACTTTAGATTAATATCCCTTTTTTGCCTGTCAGAACCGGAAAAAAGCCAAAATTGAAAAATTGCTCAAAAATCACCAAAAACATCAACGTAAATGATATTGGTCTAGATTGTTAACACTCATAACTGCTTGCAGGTATAATGTATTTGGAAGAGATTGGTAATATATTCTTGAAATACATTGCGTTCAAATGTGACTCATTTTCTCTCATATTTGCAAGATCCGCGAGTATGCTTCATTTCACGGCTTATTTATCGAGTAGTAAAATGATTTTGTGGTATTTGTTTATGTTCTTTAAAAGTACCAAGGGTGGTGTAGTTTTTAGCATATAAACCTCTGCGGGCAACATTTTTTACATTTGCAAGAAAACGCCTGTGAAATCCCTAAAATGCGACGTTTTCTTGAGCGCTATCCCAGCTACTTGCGCGAGAAGACTGGTGATGAGTCTTAAAATTTCAAACAAATGTAATGATAGGTCAAAAAATCTCTTTTTTAACATGTCATTGTTGTTATGACTATTATTAAGGTAATGTTGATATATATCTTTTATATCAACGTTAAAAAATATAACAATGTTAAAAAATATAACATACCATAAAGAAGTACAATGCAGGCACGTAGTAGTAGTAGTTGGTGTTAGTTATGGATGTGTTTACAAGAACACCTATTTAGGTATGCAATCATGGCATCAGAATATACCGCCTTCGCTCGCCCTTTAACGCTGATGCCAAAATGACTAGTCATGGAACGCAGTTGGGTGATTTTCAGGTTGTCGATTTCTTCTCGTGTCATTTGGCACAGGCTTTTGCCTGAAAACAACACAGGATGAGCTACATCCTGCTTTAAAGATTCTAGCACGTTCGAGTTCATCGCAGCTTGGTGCCTCGTGAATTATTCTGCTTCGTCATCCGATTCTGTGGCACCTTTTCTCGTTGATGCCATTCTAGAGAAATACGACGATATCTGCTGGGCACGAAGAAACTCTACAACGGTACAGACTCGTTTCCCATTCTGATCTTTCAGTTGTCGCATTTCCTTTGACACGTTATCCGGGTTAGCCTTCACGCCCGTTTTTACACCATCGTTAAATTTGTTCTCCAGGAATGTTCTCTGTTTTGCGCTGAACCGGTGGCCTGTTCTTTTGGGGTCCCGACCAGCCCATCCTTCTGAAACAGACGTTCTACCCACGTCTGTCGAGCCTGTCATTGTAATTAATGATTGTCCCCCTCTCTCCTCTTCCAGACGGTCTGCGTAGCTTATCTTTGCCCTGTCCAATAAAGGAACATTCTGGTTTTGTCGAAAATTGTGTCTCCTATACTTCAGGTGTTGCTGCAGACGCCCATGAGTCATATAGGATTTTATTCAGCCGTCTTCTGGGCAGGAAAACAAATAGCTATCAGCTGGATCGGTACCGACTTGCTGTTCATCAATGGCTGGTCGCTCTTCGTTAGTTGAACTGTCCGGATGAGAAGATACTCCCTTTGCTTGTCTGGGCTTTATTCGGCTGGTTCGACCACGATCCATTCGAACTCACTATATCACGTGGGATTTCTAAATAAATTTATGAACACATTTCAACAAAGCACACACCTAAATGAAAGTTTTTGCACTCGGTAGTCCACGTGAGCGCAGCCTGTTTCCAAATAGGTGTACATTCTTTACACCTGCAAAAATGTTGTTGTGGGATAGTACATTAAGATAAACAAATAAGTAGTTTAAAATGTTGTTATCTTTTTGAAGAAGAAAGACTTATCGCTCTTTTTGGGCTCTGCTACATGTTTTTTAATGTGACGACAAGGCTTTCCAATAAAGTTCTTATGAATCATATAAACATAACCGTTAATTACGAGCCATTTCTTGAGCATGTTTTGCCAGTAAATAATCAATGTTTACCTAAGACCGAATAATAGTTTTCATCTACCAACCAATTAGTAAATACCTTTAAATGATGTCCAGGACTGAAAATGCCCAGCGCCGATACCATAAGCCTTGAAGGACCTCTCACCGGCAGATGTTATCACGAAGTTGGACAAACTGCTTATACCGTCCCACTTGATTTTCTTGCGTCCAGCAATCTTGGGAACAGGTTCTATCGTGACACGCACCCCTTTAATCCCTCCGTTGGATTCAATAGCTTTTTTTAAGTTCAGCAGGCGTTGTGACGGAATTGCCCTGATTGATGTATTGCTTAACATGGGTCTTGATTTGCGCTGCCTTCCTGTCACATGGACCTTTCCCTCCCTGCGGGTCACGGAAGTCAATCCGATGAAGATCCAGCGAACTTCTCTCTCTTAGTATTTTGCACGCCAGTATTGTTATTGCGGAGTGATAACACCCTGCGTTGCGATTATTTTGCTTGCTTTGCAAGTGTAGTGATCTTGTGTTTTTGTAGTGGCACATTTCCAATCACGCTCCATAATGGATCCCAGAGGCCCAATACCACTCAGATCCATGAATCGCTCCAATGCTGTTTTTTACCGTCACCAGCTGGTTTATCTGGTGGATGAGAACCACTTCCACACGTTGCCTGACTGCTGGTGTCATCTGAAGTATCTTCCTGGGACGAGGTAGGCTGGTATAGTGAACATTCAGGGTTAATGGCTAGCTTCTCCAGATCTTCAACAAGCGTTGCAACAGTCTCATCGTTTATTTTGCCCTCGTTAGTGAACTCTATGCCTAGAGGTTCTCCATCTGATGCCTAAAATGAATTTAAAAAATATATCTTTAGCGATGTCTGCATATTCGGACGTATACAACTGTAGATTGCTGTCATCAGGAATTGTTCCTCGATTATTGCCACAATACCCACTCTATTATTTTATAATCTCCATATGGAAAACTGCCATATAGCCAGTATCTCAGCCCTGGGTTAAGCCTTGCTAAAAACGCCGCTTGGTTTAGTTTGGCTTATAAGCCTGTTTGTCCCTTGTTTGTTTACTTTCTTGTATTTACCCTGTGGCTACACGCATGTAGTGTTTACCTCTTCTCGCTGTTCACCCTGCAGGATTGTGGCGTTTGTGCTCAACTTTTCGCGGCATTGTCGACAGATTCCTAGAAGAGCAACGTGTAAATATATATAAAAGTGGAAACAACATTGTAGGTGATATAAAGGTTAACAGTGTAAGTCAAATTTCGTCCTTGATAATTCTTCAAATCATGCTTAACCTCAATAATTGCTAATTATGCATGAACTAGTATTGTTGTGGGTTATGGCGCGACATGTCTTGTGGAAGCGAATACTATTCTTTGGACTTGATTGACATGTTTACGATGTTTATGATTGACATGTTTTCACCAAGTCAAAGAAAACAAAGATGATTGATATGCATGACTCTTGTGTTTCCCGTCCCCTTCCAACACACCCAAGTATTATTCTGCAACCCAAAACTACGGCCGGATACGCAAGGTATATACGTATACCTGAACCGACAGGTATTACCAATCCAGTTAGGTGGAATATTTTCTCCGACATTTCCTTATTTACTGATCGGTCACCAGTATGCTTTTTAAAGAGGTGGGATGCAACAGGCGATGGAACTTGACAATTCTTCTTCCGCCCTCCCCATCCAATACCAAAGGATTGTCGATGTTTCGGACATACCATCGCGGCAGCGAATCCCTCAAATATGCCTAAATAAATTGCACATGATTTAATAAAAGAAATCAGAGTGTTATATTTAAATAAACTTTACTAACTCACCTGCTCTCAGCAATATCAACTCTTTCTCTGAAGATATTTCCTCTCCACGGAGGTTCAACATTTTTAAATGGCCAGTTACATCGCGTTGGCACGCATTTAGCGATTGAAACTCGCTTACTTCAGAGCCTTTTAAGGAAATCGAACCGCACTCAGTGCCGGTCAACGTCCCTATTCCACACTTGTCCATTTCGAATGTTTTTGCTTTAATTGAGCACAAATGTTTAATAACAAGCGTTGCAATGCAAGATTGTGTACTTGTTGTGCGATCTATTTTTATGAATGATTTCCCAGTGGGTTTTCCCGGAGCGAAAATTGAATTGTGCGAAATTCAGGCCAGGATCTACCCTGGTTCCAGAGGTTTATTTTTCCTCTCCTCTTCGCAATGAAAATAATAAAAATAAACCTCTGGAACCAGGGTAGCCAGGATCATTTAAATGACACAAATCGAATTAATACTTTTACATAAGACTTAGTTATTGTACAGTAATACTTCGATCGAGATGTCACTCCCATGTTCCACCTCCGCAGTTTAAAACATAGATATGATTTCTCGACAAATACTAATTTTTAGACATTCAATTAAAGGAAAAACAACCATGATGAAACAGTGCCCTAATTGCTTCATTGCAAGCTATATTTCTCGCATGTTATATTTTCTTCGCAGGGCGCGATATGATCTGTATACACTACATTTTCATCGGTTCGGTTGACTTTCCCACGAACGATTGCAAGAAACAAAATAACTACGTTCCTTTAAATCAAAATTTAATAGAGCACGGTTTCTAGCAAAAAAACTCGCTGAAACAAATTATTACCTAAGGTGGTTGTATAAATTCCTCTAGACACTAATAACTGAAATTGGAAGCTTTAAGGTGCAAATAAAGTCATCTTTAAAATTTGTCAAGAAAAGCGAACTCAAAAACTTGCTTTCCTTCAACGAGAAGTACGCAGTGTTTGCTAAAACACAGATTGAGTCATGCAGGGCCGGTATATGTGTGATATTGTTTTAATTAAAGGGCGTTATGATTGACATGAAGTATGAACGTTCAACTATTGCCGCATAATTTATTATAAGTATGAACGTTTAGCTATTCCCGCGTAAATTATAAAGTATGAACGTTCAGCTATTCCCGCGTAAATTATAAAGTATGAACGTCCAACTGTATGTATGAGTGAGCAAGACCGTCAAGAAGAATCGTTAGCCGCACAATATGTGTTGGATTTTGATACGTCTCTTTTAGAGTAAGGGAGACGTACAAGACATACAAAAACGGTTCTTTTAAGAGCCACCAAATATACTAAAAGAATTAAACGAAACACTCGATTTCACATATTTATAGTATGCATCGATCAAGTTTCGCTAAGAGTCAATACCCCTAAAATGTGGACAAATCAAACGTGTGTAGTGTACACTTTTCTGAAAATCAATACTCCTCACTCGATGAACAGTTTTCCAGACCAAGTCCAGTTTTCACTGTAGGGGATTTGCTGGTCACGACATCAGTTTTAACAGTCAATGAAATAGCCTAAACATTTATAATAATAGTAATAAGTAAAAAAGACACGAACGTTATCGATAGAGTAAACGTTTGTTGTTAGACCGACGTTGTTCCTGGGCAACAAACGAAGATGTCGTGACCAGTGCAAACGAAGTCCTCGCTAAGAGTCAGTATCGGTCTAACGTGTGGAAAAATCAAGTATAGTATACTCTTTGCCGAAAATGATTTCTCCCCATTCGATAAAGTTTTATTTTAGTTCACTTCTCTGTGAAATACATGAGATTTTTTTTTCTCCTCTATTTGAAATATTTAATTACTAATTAGCGAGTTGAAATGAGCCATTATATTTATTATATGCAAATGTTTTTAAGTGAAACATCCCATGCACACACACGCACATTTTGTCAGCCGTTGGCAATACTAAGGTTACAAACCCTTTAAGGGTGATATCGTTGCATTTCGCTTACTTCTCTGTGAACTAAAATGAGATTTGATTTATTTTGTACAACTAACAGATATTGAACTAGCGAATTGAGATGAGCCATTATAGTTGTTATATGCAAATGTTTTATGTCAAATTATGTTGAGATTAATAATGCTAAACATACGCCTATTACGATAGGTATGAGTGCATGGTTGAGTGTCTTATGTTATCGTATGAGGAGAGATCGCAGATGTATGATTTGGAACTGACTATAGAGCGAGTTAGCCAAAAAAGACATGGTATGGAATAAGTTTGTTGAGGTGACCAGAGTTTTAGAGCTTCAGTGGGATGAATACTATAACAAATATAACAGACAAACAAATAGGATTTATAAAATTTATTTTTAAAGTATATATAAAAGTACAACAATTTATTCGATAGTATCGCTTTCATCGTCTGAATAATGTTGTCGTTTTTCTAAAAGACGTTTGAAAAGAAACTTTCTCTTTTCTACTGCGGAATATAAAGCTTCTTCGCGGTCGAGGAAATCTACGTCAATCAAATTATCTCTTGTCTGCATGATCTTCTTGTGAATTGGATCTTTTCTCATGTGTGACATCCATAGCAGCCGTTCTACATAAATATCTTCTACTTCTTTTGTGAGTTTGGGAAGAAGTTCTGAAAACGATTGCCTCTTAGCTTCAACATCACTAAAACCCTCATTATTAAGGCATTCAACGTTTTCTTGAAATTTATCCAAAAATTGCAGTTTTGCTTCGTGTATCAACGTTTGCCAGGGATCGTAGTCCTCTCCATCTTCGCTGGATTCGTGTTCTCCGTCTTCGCTTTCCTCTTTGCTGTCGTCTTCCTCGCTGTTCTCATTTTCTTCGCTGTTGCTCTCTTCTTCACTGCTATGTTCTTTCTCGTTATCACGATCGAAAATATCACCGTTTTGAGATGAGAAAGATGACCCTTCATCGTAATTATCCATCCTAGCTCTTTTTGATCTGTGCATAATGCTGTAGTCTTCTTTATCTGCGCAAGATGACATGGCGTCACTCAGATAAATACGTCTTTCTTCACTTGATAGATGGTGAATGTCTGCCAAATGATTTGATAATTTGCAAAGGTTTTTCTTTCCGCACAGAAGACAGTCTTTACGCGTTCGCGGCATCGAGCAAAATGATTCCTCTTGTCAAACGGGACGCAGGGACATTGCTACGGGACGCACGGGACTTGCTTGCGGGACACTTGAGATGTGTCCATATATGCGGGACGCAGGGACTTTCTTACGGGACGCCCGGGACTTGCTTACGAGACACTTTGAGAGGTGTCCCTATATGCGGGACGCACGGGACGTCCTTACGGGACGCATTTTAACGTGTCCCTGCGTCCCGTAAGTAAGTCCCGTGCGTCCCTATATGAGGGACGCACGGGACGTCCTTACGGGACGCATTTTAACGTGTCCTTGCGTCCCGTAAGACTGTTCTTATGGCTAGACCCATATAGGTTACTTAAAACGAAATCAAACGCCATGAACACATTGTTCTATTTACCAGTTACATGATGTCTTTTCAATATAACACTGCGCATCAGTTGCTTCAGTATCCGACCTTGAAGTCAGCACTGTCTGCTCGTTTGATTCTGTTATTGTTGAAGGTAAATTTTCTGGGAGAACCAACCGCTTTTCAATGGGTCCATAATTCTTAATTGTCTTGCTATTGTACCCCATTTGAAAATGGCCCTCCAGATTTAAATCATTACGACCAAAGCTAATGCCAAATCTGAACATTTTCTGTCTATTATGATCCTTGTTTCTCTTGACTTTATCATCAGTCCTACTATAGCAAGTACCCAAATAGATACAGATACTGCAAGTAACAGCATGGAATAAAGAAAAAGCCAACAACACAATACGTTTTAAAATGATATATTTCTTAAATACATTATATGGTTGAATTGTATTTTAATTTACAAACACAGCTAATGCAGTCCATGAGATTGTTAAGAGGAACAGTTCTTTCGAACTCAGAATATATTTGACGCCGAACAAAACATGATATGTCAAAAAGTTTTTCAAAATAATCTCTTTGTGTTTCTGATGGTTCAGGATACTTTAACATCTTGCATGCTTCAACGATTGCTTGCCACATCACTTCATGATTCAGCATTGCCAGAGCCTGTTCAGCGTAATTCATCCAGCGCTCTTCTTCATCTAAACCTTCAATCCGCTGTCCAAACCAGGACCATTGATTACCATCAACTTCATCTTGATTTATGCGTGTCTCCTCTTCCAGTTTCTGAATTTGACGGTATACGATCTCCGTAAACACGAAATCAGTAAGTTTTTCAGGAGTGAACAACTCATAGTCAATTTCATTCACATACATTTGTCTGAACAAGTGTGCCATAATTCACGCTTTCTTTTAAACCAACCGTTCACGAGCACAGTCACGAAATAGACTACTGCATGGCGTTTGGTTTCGTTTTAAGTAACCTATATGGGTCTAGCCATAAGAACAGTCTTACGGGACGCAAGGACACGTTAAATGCGTCCCGTCAATGATGATATGGAATAAGTCAGAAACCAAGTTTACCATAAGTTCAATAAATAGCCGTTTACTTTCATCTGGATGTGTATCAATATATGACCTCCGGCCTTAATTAATTTCCTTTACTTACAGTATAAATATAAAATTTGCATCGCCTGGAATGATTGGTACTATGGATAAACATTTCGGTTACCTACAGTACTTGCTGTGTAACATATATATTTAATAATTTTTCCTCCATCGCAACACTAACACATGTGCCTTTCTAATCGTAACTCTCAGAAGAATGACATGTATGTAAAATTTCCACATCCAGCTTGTGTCATGGTATACATAAACCAAACGTTGTTTCGACGTTATTTACAACATTGAACTGGGTGAGAGGGGGAGACAAAATTTGTTTTATCAATGTTCAATAACTTTATAACATTGGCCGGAATATTGTAGTATCATTAATTGGCTGGAAGAAGGGTTTTGTCCAAGATTGTAGCTATTTGTCTTATGAAATTATTTAAGTGCTTACCTTTCTTTACAAATCCTTAGTTTGCAATATAGTCCAATGTCAGTGAATTCACATAAAAACTCACACGACTTCGAACCATTTACTGAACTGTTGACGTGGACAGGTTATGAGGTGTGAGTGTGTGACTGATTGTAGTTAATTAAACACCTCACCTTCAATGTACCTCACACGACTTCGAACGTTTTAACTGTAATTGACGCAGTTATGAACCGTGTATTAAATGCTCGGTAAATAACGTAGCAGTTTGAACAACTGTGGCGCACTAGACTGTTCAAGGGAATACAATTTATAGTCGCCTTTGTCTTAGAATAAGAATTCTATTGAGTATTGATTATGATTATGATTTTATAATCACCTCTTGATTAGTTGCAATGTCAGTGACAGAGAGTTCGATGCTAGTGGGTGGAAAGTGAGTGTACGCCATACAGTTGATCACAGTCATTGTTACGCATTGAAGCAAGACAACATATGCAAATATATCTCAGATATATCTCTGTAAATATTGCGGTGGTTAAGTGCGATAATTTGCATAAATTATATGCACCGTTCCACTTCCGTCGTTTTATTGCTTTTTGGCGCTGCCTCGTCTCCAGGCACTAGTACAAAAATTCATGCGAGTTACTATATGAAAGGTTTACATGAAGTAGTGCATCGCAACGAACAAGCGCAGGGGTTTTGGCGTGTATTGAAAAGTGGACGCTATATATATGCAGTCGCCTTTGGCTTTGAACTGTAGTCGGTCTATCTGGAGAGTGGAATCACTAAACCTCGGAGATTTCCGCATTACGCTTGTTTACGTTCATGTGTGCAGGGTGTATCCGAAAAACCTGCAAACTTTGAAATACAATGTTTTCAGAATTTGTATGATTCAGAACTAATTGATCCCAAGCGTGCGTAAACACAATAGTTGACCCATTCGCAGTCGAACTGATAATTAGTTTTCTGCATTATAAATAACTTTGTGTTATTCTAATTTCTATGAAGCGGTTAATCATAGAATGTATTTTCAAATCCCAGGAGCAAAATAAGTAGCACAGACATTGAAATGATAATAAGCAGCAGAATGATGCAAATTATAGTGTTTGCAGGTTTTTTTATACACCCTGTATATTGGAGAGTGGAAATTCACTAAATCTCGGAGATTTCCGCATTACTTACGAGTGTTTCCGCTTATGTCCATAAATGGTTCTATCATACGTGGATGCTCTCCAGCCTCTCCTGAATCGGAGATTTCCGAATAGACCTTTTCGGTAATTACGTCATGACTAACACTGTTTTCAATTTAGGACCACCTCAAATGGAATAGATTTTAAGTTTGTTTTTCAGGGACCATGGTCAGAGGAGCAGACTGACATCCTTCGTCAACACATGCATAAATAAGAATTTTGGATTTTGATCAATAAATGTGGAAATAACCTTAAACACGAAAACGAGGCTTAGGGGCCTTGCTCCTTAAGCTTATTTACACATTTATTGGTCAAAATCTAAAATTCTTTTTTATACATGTTTTGAAGAACGATGTTCTGCTCCTCTGACCATAGCACGTGAGAAACAAACTTAAAATCCATTCCATTTAAGGTGGTCCTAAGTTGAAAACAGTGTAGTTGTGACGCAATTACCGGAAAGGTCTATTATGTTTAATTAATTTAATTGTTTACGCTTATAGCCATAAATGATTCAGATCATTCAAGTGACAAGACCTTTGCCAACATACAGACGAGCAAGTTTTCTATGACGTGACAAATTTTCATATGCCATATGGCCATCATACAAACGAAGAGGACGGGCTTGGTTACATCGCACTGAGACTGTTCAGTGTTCACTATAAAAATGTAATAATGATGAAATCAGTGTTTTCATCGTATAATATACATAAAAATATTGCTACTCGACTGTGAATCTGTGATTGTTGGTTGATTCCAGTGCGGTTAATCTCAAACAGCAGTGCAAAATTCGGTAATAACAGTGCAAAAATCTGTAACAAACTGATCTGATTGGTAGAAAAACAATGGTAAGATAAAATCAACCAATCAGCTTAAAGCAGTCCTCAAGTAATGGTCACAGATTGCTTCAAAACAAAACAAAAATGGCGCCGCGTAACTTTTACTCCATAAACGTAATACGTTTATGGAGTAAAAGTTGAGTTCGGGTAGAAAATACGGCTCGTTTCTTTTTTTTTTTAAATGGAAAAGGCTTTAATTAAACAAAACTAACCAACTTACATAGTTGAGTGAAAGTTCAAGCCGTTAGCGTTGTATAATGTGAATAATATAATAGCGTTGTATAACAAAGCAGGATAACTTTGTTAGTGGACGGTGAGAAACACACAAAAGAACTAGAAAAGTGCAAAAGCAATTCAGATTTATTCATATTTATTCTTGAACCCCCCCCCCCTGATTGATTTACTTCCGACGGCCTTGTAATTATCTATGTTATTAATACGCAATAGGATGGTTTCTCGTATAATGTGGATAAAACAAGTACTCGTGAGTTTTTCAAAGACGTCAAATAGCACTCGTCCTTCGGACTTGTGTTATTTCAGTGATGCTGTTTGAAAAACTCACTCGTGCATGTTTTATCAAATTGCACTCGAAACCATCCTATTGCGCTAATGTAACCTAAATATAAAATTTAAAAAAGAAATCATTGCAAAAATCAACGGAAGAAGGCAGTTTTTTCGTGAGATGTCTTAATAAAGCCCGTTTTCCAAAATGAAACTTCGGCAATTTGATTGGTCACTGAAACAATTCGCCGCCATTAACAAATATATATTCCTTTAACTTAACGAGGCTCCCTACAGTTTCCCCCAATGAAATGAAACTAGACGCGATAATTGATGATTCCCCTTATTACGTTTTCGTAGCGCTTTGCATTGTGGTTATAGTGGTATCACAGATAAAGATAGCGGCCTCGAATGAAAATATTGAATGTTTTGGCGAATATTTTGCTGTTGGCTATCGCGCACCTGACCCTAGCTTTTTTAAAAAGTTCCTGCACGGGTCAGGACAAAAAATAAGCCACCTTGAATACCAGTGACCACTATAACCACAATGCAAAGCGCTACGAAAACGTAATAAGGGGAATCTAGTATTACAGGGCCGTAGCAACCGGGGGGGCTGGGGGGCTGCAGCCCCCCCAATAATTTGCTAATAATCATTCTTTTTTCAAAATCATGCAAACTTTATCATTTAATCTGTGACAAACTGCAAAGAATGAAGATATTACTCATACTCCAGATCGTTCCTCGCGTAGAAATTTTAGCTGAATTTCTGTCGCGCATTTTCAAGAAAATCCCACAAAATCTGCACAGTTTTTGATGAACTAATGATTTATTTTGTCTTTTGCGTGTTGGGTCTTGCGAAAGAAAACTCTGAAAATGCCATTTCAGACCATCTAGAGACTCCAGATTTTCGAAATTTTCTCAAATGTTCTGCCTTCATTTCCGCGCAACTGCCATTTACGACGAAAATTCCCGCCGCGCATTTATAATACTACAGTCTGGCCCATACTTTCCTGTAAATTTCGACATACTAAAACGCTGTTTTCTGACTATCAGAATTCTGTTAAATCTTCCCCCAAAGTCCAGGAAATGGCATTTTAGAGACTCTAAATTTAAAAATTTCCTCGGGCCTTCGGCCCTCGCTTTCAGCCCCCCCAATCGAAAAGAGCTTCCTACGGCCCTGTATTAGGGGGGGGGGGGCGGGGTGTATGTATATTCATATATTCATGCCCACATACCGTAAAAACAATCGCTTTCAAAAGAAATCCGAATATATAAATATGAACACGAATATATAAATATGCAACCCCCCCCCTCCCCCCAATATATTATCGCGTCTAGGTACGGCCCTGAACTACCTTCAGACAAACTGCTAATCTGCCTATCTTTTTCCTGAAGCCAAATCTGACATTCTGACCCCCAGACTGATTGTCTGATTGAGAGTTCTTCGCATACGCGAAAAGACTCATGGGACTGGCCTACAAGTTTGGCTTCAAATTTCCGGTTGGAGGTAACGTTCCAGTTACAGTATATTAGTGAGCTTGCGTCGCCAAAAATTAAAAAAAAATCCAGCATGAGCTCGACCTTTGAATTTACTATATGAGTAAATTGTTCACGCCCGAAATTATCAATACAATAAATTCGCGACACATGAGACCAATTGCATTCAACAACTTATTTGGATAGATGAACCTAACCCTGATCTAACCCCAACTCTAACCCCTAACCCTAATATATCTTAAATCTAACCTTAATCTAATCTTAATTGTTTCGTCGTTTTGTTCATAAGTCTGGCCAAGTGAATTGCGAGCCACTGCCAGTAAGGATTGTCCAGACTCATTTTTGAAATTCATAATTATCTATAGCCGCCCTATTTTGCCGTTTTTGAAGGCGATCACTATGCTATCGAGTTGTGTGAAGTTGTATGTGCGTTACTCACTCAGGTCGACTAATTAGGGCTGTATGCTTACGAACAGGCTGTAAAACAAAGATGGCGGCATTCTACAAGGTGAGGAGAAAGGTCAGCACTTGTTGCCATCTACCAAACTGACGTAGTGGCGTGACGTCATTTTCGGACGATGGAAGAGGTGTTAAATGGCTATGTAACTAACCCAAACCCTACTCCTACTCTAACTCCTAACCGCCACCCTAACCAAAATTAGTAAAAAAATCCGAAAAGGAACAACTTTAGGAATTGACCAAATGACGACCAAACTGGTCGATGGAAACAAGTGAAAACCGAAGAGAAACTGTTTGTCAAAATTGTCCAATAAAAAAAACTTTTCATCCTAGAAAATTGCCCAAAGTAACATCGTAAAGCTTTTTCATGATCAGTGACCGTTGCCTATTCATAATTATATATGGGATATTAAAATTTTGTTATATGGTATATTTATAGTCACAGCATTTCGAATTATTATGTTACGTTAAAATCAGTTTGTTATATAGTCACGTGCACAGGACATCTTATAGAATTAAGAATTATAGGATTGCTTCATAAGTTGATTAAAATTTCTTTACAGATTAATTGTAGGTATTTTTTCATATAGCAATGCATACATGATACATTAAATGTGGGTACAGTATTTACCTCAGCAATTGTGTACCCATTTCATATATAAATCTTATTCTGTTTGTTTTTATTGTAAAAAATGGTGGGTTTCTGACAGTTGATTGCGGTAGAGAAGAGACTGCAATCTGAACATTATTTGTCATATACAGCCGGCAGGCGGGTTTTAGTACTGAACCTGGCTGCCGGCTATAGACGTTTGCACTCGTTCCCCATGAACCAATTGCAACTCAACAAAAGCCATGGCTGCCATGTTGGTGTTCCCGACAAAAGAGTCTAATTAAAATTCTTTTGAATTGGAACACCAACATGGCGGCTATAGCTGTGGCATCGTGTGTAAACGCTCGATATAGTGACTATACCGGGTGGCGCAAA